CCCCAAAACCCCAAAACCCCAAAACCCCAAAACCCCAATTGGGGTAGAGGGGGTTGAATTTTATTTTTGAATAAAAGCAAGAATAAATGTCAAGACCAAGGACAGTTCAAGAAGACGATTACCAAGCCATCGCTTGTGTCTCGAAGAGAAATTCCTTTAGAAGGGATGATATTTAGCACAGAAATTAGTTCAAATAATCCTTGGTGTCATAAGTGTAAAGAATGGAGCCAAAAATGTCAAGAACTTCAAGTTCAACAAGATGAGATGAAGAAATATTACTCCTCTCTAACAGAAGATCTCCAGCAGTCTGTCAATATTCTGCTGAATGATTACATAAAGGATTCTAATGCAGTTGAAAAGTTCACTCAAAGTTCTGAGAAGATCAAGCAACTGCGTAAAGAGGGCTATGAGCTTAAGAAAACTCTATTAATGATGCAGAAGAACTACTCTGACGCTCAGCAATCTCTTGAGGAGGATAAATAAGTGCATAAAGAAAGCTGAAAAAGAGCTTAAGAAGACTAATGAAGGCAAGCTCATGGCTGAATGAAATCAATTGAAAAAAACGGTCAAAAATTTAACAGAAGAGGTCGAGAATTTGAGTATGACTAACGAAAGGCTATTTCAAGATCTTAAGAATCAAAACTTTTATTTGAAGTACCATGAGTTATCAGAGAAATACAGCAAGATACAGAAAGAGAACGAAAAACTGCTTGACCTAAAGATCAAGAAATTCAACAGAATTTTTTTCAAAACACAGAGTTATAGTGGTTTACAAGGCTACTCTAGTTTTTTTAATAGGAGTCAGGAAGGAAGAAATAAGTTACAACAGATTTTAGCCAAGAATAACTTTAACTCTTGTTTCTCACCTTCTCAGCCTAGGATTCAATGTAAAAAAATCCCGAAGAAAGACATTGACACTAAAGTACTGTCTTCCAGAGTAGAGAAGAACTCTCATGAGAAAAGAGTCTTTGTAAGAAAGATGAGCTTCCCTTTTAAAATGAAGTGAGAGAAGCCTAAACGTAGTCCTGCTTTGACAAGTTCTAAACGAACAAAAAGTAAGTTTGTCTGTTAAAGAATAGAAATTATGAAGAGTCTTAATACTACCCAACTGACAAGAACGAATACTTCTGAAGATCGATGAAAACCGCGAAGAAAATACGATAGCATTTCTCATCAAGAATTATGCTCTGAAGTTGGTATTCAGAGGTATCATATAAATATCTTCCCCTAAACCATCCCAAATCTATTTACCATCCCAATACAATCTGATCAATCTCCCAACCCACCTCTTAAATCTCTTCATAGCCAAGCCAAAATGCCAAAACCAAAATGCCAGCCAAGACGGCGAAAGAAGGCCTTAAACCCCAGCATCCCTATAACTCCAAGGTCTGAATACCTAAATATCTTCAAAAGGGTAGCTATCTAGGTCCCCAAATGGCCTAAAATCTCCCAAAATGTGCACGAATAATGCCTTAAACCCCCTTATAATTTGTAGGATTTTAATAACGTTTTTCAATATTTTAGGGGTGGAGTGGGGTTTTGGGGTTTTGGGGTTTTGGGGTTTTGGGG